AATATGAAGATTTACTTTCATTTTCCCATGTAATAAAGGACATCTATCATTTGTTTTAATAATTTTGTAATAGGAATATGGATTTTTTTAACAATTTTTAGGGTCTACTTACTTTTCACCCACACTGTCTATGTGTGTGTGTGTGTGTGTGTGTGTGTGTGTGTGTGTGTGTATTACTTCAAACGTTATTAAAATGGATACCCGTATTTCAAACAGACGCCCCTTTTTATTTCCCTATTCGAGGAAATATGAAAATATGCTCCCCGGCAAGAATCAAACCCGCGCCTTACGTCTTGTAGGAGAAAAACCCATTTGGTCTGATGTGCTCTATCGTTTCGCTACGAAGAGCGTCAAAGTCTCTCTTTTCTTGCTGGAAAGATAATTTTCTTTATTAACATTTCTTGAATACACAGGCGTAATTCACATCGTTTAAAATAAAAATAAAAATGCGGCGTCTATTTCAAATACGGGTATCCACTATAATAACGTTTGAAGTAATAAATATATCGGATTAATAATAAATCCAAGGCATTTATTTCAGCCATTAAGTGAAATGCACCAATAAATTATCTCTTTAATCGAGTTTTCATTTTGTTTATAATTAAGATGTCTCTGGTTATAAAAGAATAAATTGCTAATGTTTTTGTTGCTTTTGCTTACGTCAGCGTTGTGCATTTTTTAGTCTAAATGTATCTACAGCTAAATTTATTTGCTCATCAACGTCTCGATTTAGAAAACAATTGTTAACAAGCGCTTGTTTTATGCTGCACAATTCATATAAAACAATGATTGCAAAGAAGAAATTAGTTCAGATCAATGGATTATGTTCGTTATAACAGCCATACTATATCTGACTTTAATAATTAAGAAGATGGAAATGATACTAGTGGATCTTTTATACAACGAAGTAGTTAGACAAAGATGAGCAGAGTCAACTAAATATTGACAAAAAGGATCCTATTATTAATATTAACATCCTAAGTGTAAAAGTTAATTTTTATCAAGCGTTTCCCTTTCTTTTTTACCGGAAGACTTCAGCAGCTCTTTCTTCGCAGCTATGCCTAAGAAAACAGGCGCAAACGAATGCGAACTCCACCGAACAATAAGCCTAATGATCCACGTGACAAAACCTATCATCTGTATACTAATGAACAGAACGCGCACAGAATCAGCTCAGCGAGAGGACAAGAACAGTGCGAGTTCGTTAAAGACACCGGAACAAGGAACGCGATATCCATGCTCAAGATATTATCTGAAAGAGCGATACAAATGCAGAAGAACGTGTACCTATGTTTCATAGACTACGCAAAGGCCTTCAAGAAAGTACGTCACAAGGATCTGATGGAACTGCTCAGCAACCTCGATATATTCGGGTATCAGAATAATCAAGAACATATACTGTCAGCAAACAGCGTGCATGCGTATAGGGAACGAGTTCAGCGAATATACAAAAATAGAAAGCGGCATAAGGCAAGGATGCGTCTTCTCACCGGACCTGTTCAATCTATACAGCGAGGCAATTCTGAGAGAATTAGAAACTCTACCGGGATTTAGCATTGGCGGCCACAGTCTTAACAACATAAGATACGCAGATGACACAGTATTGATAGCAGACACGGAAAAGAAACTACAAAATCCCCTACAGAAGGTAACGACGGAGAGTGAGAAGAAAGGACTAAGCACAAACTACAAGAAGACAGAATGCATGGTCATCAGTAAGAGGATGAGCCCGAAATGCGATTTGAAGGTCAGGAACACTAGAATCAAGCAGACGGGAAATGTTAAATATCTAGGAAGCATCTTGACACGAGGCGACAGAGATGTCATGCTAAATGAGGACGCTAAGGATATCATAGACCAAGCGTGTGTGCAACGATGAAGTCTTAGAGAAGTTGCAAACAAGGAGAAGGCTTATACTTAATATCAGGAAGAGGCAGCTGAAGTTTCTGGTATTGCTGCCATATATGGGCTGGAGCACCTTCTGCTTACCTCGGAGTTCTTGACAAGATCCAGAGAAGGATATGTAATCTAATTGGCCCTGATCTAGCGTCTTGCTTACAGTCACTCTCTCACAGACGCGCCGTCGCCTCTCTCTGTCTTTTCTACAAATTCTTCCATGGTAACTGCTCTGATGAGCTGCTCTCTCTAGTTCCCATACTCCATGAATTCAAGCGCCCTACGAGGCTGGCATCCCGCTCTCACCCTTACACCGTAGAAACCTTCAAATGTAGCCGTCTCTTCTACTCCAATAGCTTCATACCTCGCACCTCTCGCCAGTGGAACACCCTCCCCAATTACTGTTTCCCTGATAGCTATAATCTCCAACTATTCAAATGTAATGTCAATCGACACATCTCCAATTACCTTGATCTACCCACTATCCTTCTCCTCTTCCTTTCTCCTATCACTCTGCTCTCGCTCCAAATCTTCCGCAACCCCCTGCAACCCAGTGGCTTCACGCCTTGCTTGGGGCACAATGCTTAAAAAAAAAACATATAATGAGGAAGGAGAGCCTGGAGAATCTGATACTCACGGGTCGAAGAGAAGGAAAGAGAGACAAAGGAAAACAATGCATGACATACCTGGCGGGCTTAAGCAAATGAATGACAGACCGTGGTCTGGGGAAGGAAGCAGAGGGAAAGAACTTGTTGAGAGCTGCAAAATAGAGAGAAGTGGAGAGCAATGATCGCCTACGCCCTGAAAGGACATGGCACATAGAAAAAAAAAAGTCGAATAACTAACATAGGATTGGTAAAATTGTTAAAGAATTGAGCCATATAGAAATTAGGTAAAGCAGAAGAGAAAGAAACAACCAGGCAATCTTTGTGTCAAACGGTGCCATAATGATCGTAGAAAGGTGTTTGCCTGGTACAGATGCTTCCGTAGAAATTTGTTTGAATCATTTTACCCACAAGCAATGCGATAATGTCTGTAAGACACCAGGGGTTAGTGTGAACGGAAGAGAATGAGGGGACTTTCGTGAAGAGAAAGGGCGATAAAAGAATAAGATACAGCAAGACGGAAGATGGTGATTGACGTTGCATTTAAATTTTTGAAGATTGCAGGAAAGCAAGAGAGCGGAAGAGAGTTCCACAGAACGCATGAAAATAATCTATTGGAATAGAACTTATGGTTATATCTAACTATTTCAGCAGCAACACGATGTGAAATACTAGTTAATCTAGTAGTTCACTTTAAATTCACACCGTCGAGGTATCAAGAAGAGAAGCTGATCATAACAACTGCCATTAAAATATAGAAAAAACGGAGGATAGCCATGTCACGGCAATGGAAGAAATAACTGGAATGCCGGATCTATAACATTAAAGACTTTTTAATATTATTGATTTAATGTGATTTATTTATTTAGGACTTATTTTAAGACTTTTTATAGATACAAACATTTAAGTAAATGTTCTGTTTATAATAAACAGTATTAAATGTCCGAGAAATTTTCACAGAAAATATTCGTCCTCCGACAGAACTCGAAGCTGTATCCTATACGGAACGCATCATATAACCTGACGTGCTTTTTAACCGATTCGGCCACAGAGGATCGTTCGGTTAGCAAGGTCGAATTTAATGCTTTTAAACTTCAATCATCCATGAATCACTCACGTACATTCATATCTGCTCGATGCGTATCCAAATGTAAACAAATGACGTCACACATTTTGAAATGGACAAAGTCCGAAAATTATTTTAATACATTTTATGTTTATACATTCTTTTTGTAGATGCAAATATTTAAGTAAGTACTATGTTTTATAATAAACAGTATTAAACAAAATTTACCGGCCTGAATGTCCGAGAAATTTTCACCGAAAATATTCGTCCTCCGGACTGTTTATCAATGTTTTTAATATTATTAAACATATTTTTGTATTGAAAGAATTCTTTTGGAAATAATAATTTTCTGATACAAGTTTTACTATTTAACCTACAACCAAGAGAAGAAGATGGGTTCATGCCTTTCCCATGGGCATTTGCACGTAAGTGAATCTAACGAATCCAACTGGAATTCGAACTCGGCTCTCCAATTTCTCATTCCCAGGCATTATACATTACACTACCTGCACATCCAAGCTTACAGCCCCTGGTATTCCCTAGCTGTTACTCATTTAGGTACTGATCAGGTTCAGTGTTGCTTAATTACGATGATAGCGTAAGAACCAGTGTTTAAAGTGATATGCTTGTAAGTCGTGAGGAAGTTAGAACAAATAGAGTTTATATATTTTTGTATACTTACACCTGGCAAAAAATATGCAGTTAACACACTTAAAGGATGAGAACGTGGATTTTTTTAATTAGCAGCAAATAAATTAATCATACATGAGATGCAAAACTAAAAGATATTTAATACCTGAACAGGTTGTCTTCATAAAATATTCAGAAGTCAAGAAACGCGTTTTGAAGAAGATCCCAAAAATTAACGGATTTTACGTGTAACTGAAAAAAAAAAACGTAAATATTCCTTAAAAAGTAATATAATAATTTAATATAATTTGAAATTGTTATTTATTTTATTTCATACATACATTATACATATTATGATTATTATATTTATTTGAGGTTATATATGTATTGCTTATTATTATTTCTATTAACTTTTTCGGGTTTTTATGTATTAATTTGTTTTTGTGCAATTAACCTGAAGATCGTTTGTCTTATTTTTACTTTCTTATTTTGCTTAACTAAAGTTATATTTATCAACTTTGGAATTTCTACTCCCGTTCATTTTTATCAGTTGATAGATTAGGTGTTAGTCGTATAAAAAATGTACTAAAAATTATTTTTTTTATGTTATAATTTAAAGACTTTACAATCTCTGAGTATTTTAGGTTTAAATCACGATTTATATTTTCAGTTTTTTATTTCTGCTATCTTTGATTTTGTGTTTGAGTATTTATGCTCGACTATTTTGTAATACACAGACACACACACAGACACACACACAGAAACACACTGACACACACACATACACACAGAGACACACACACAGAGATAGATAGATAGATAGATAGATAGATAGATAGATAGATAGATAGATGAACGTATAAAAAAATTACGAAAATAGCCGATTCCGCAACCTTGGTTTTAACCTGTCAGTATCATCAGGAGATTCCGGTCGATTTATTTCGTAACACTACATTTTTTTTAAATTTTTAATAAAAAATTATGAACGCTGTAATTTATATATATATATATATATATATATATATATATATATATATATATATATATATATCAAATATGTGATGCAGTTCAATATTACAATGAATCATTCATACAAAAAATAAATTAGTAAAGTTAATGATATAAAATGGCGAAATCCCTTCGCTAACAAATTTTAAAGATGCATTAACCTACCAATCACTCGATCAGTGTTTTGATCCTTGTTTTTTTTTTTTAATATAAGTGTATTAGGCTTTCCTTAAATACACAAGTACTTTCGATTGTACGTTCAGTCAACTTCAGGCATGGAAGTTATTTTGTTTTTTCAGATTTCAAATAATTCAACCTTAGCTTTGCGACTGCACGCTCCACATGCTTGTATCCATTATCAATAACACATTTCGATTTGCATTATATTTTTTCTTCTTGGATGCAACCTGAATACACACACACACACATATATATATATATATATATATATATATATATATATATATAGTTTTGCTGGCAATATATATATATATATATATATATATATATATATATATATATATTGCCAGCAAACTTTCTTTCAAAGATCATTCATTGAATATGGGCATTTCCAAGGTGTTGTGTCTTTGGTGTTGAAAAAGTATTTTAAAACTAAAAATGTATAGATGCTCATGTGGTTTCCAGTTGCGTGAGGCACGTGAGAGTTTGGATTGAACGCTCCTTTTTCAAAGAACAACACAAAGATTATTTAAAACATGAGGGGAAAATAGCAATACCAGAGACAAAAAGACACCCTTGAAAATGACTTGGGACAATAAAAATTATGAACAATTGTTATATTCCTTAACTCCTAGAAAACGGAGAAAGTTTAGGATGCTGGAAAAAAAATTAATAAAAAATTGTATTATATTTTATTAAATTTATTTTGAATTTGAGCTTTGAATCTGCGTTTAATTTAGCGTCCCTCCTATGAGACAATATCTTTTTAAAATCAAAATTAATAATTCATGCCTGATGATTTGGTGGAACAACGAAACAAAGTTGTACTTCAAACGTAGGTATATGCAAATTTAATAATAATACTAATATATATATATATATATATATATATATATATATATATATGTGTGTGTGTGTGTGTGTGTGTGTGTGTGTGTGTGTGTGTGTGTGTGAAGATCAGTAATCTTCATAGCGACATGGTGTTGACCACGGTGTCTACTTTTATATCCACATACGCTCTCTCCTTGATGCTGAGCACTTTTAAAGTATATTTTTATCATATATATATATATATATATATATATATATATATATATATATATATATATATATATATTTGGATAGATGTGAGTTTGTGACCCTGGGTTTCACGCTTTAGCGATCGTCAGACAAACTGATTAATGTTTTTAAAAATTTGGGTTTATGTAGGTTGCGTGTATTGGTGTTATTGTAGAAGTGGTGGGGGAAACTTCGTCGTTTTGTCATTCATCGTACTAACACAAACATCGATGTATGCAGACACATATACATACATATATAAACATATGTGGGCAGTTTCGGCTATGACACATGTATGTATACGGGTAGTGTTATGTCTATACATACGCATTTGTATGTTGAAATGTTGAAATTTAAACATTGGAAGTGTGGCGGAAATGTCTCGTTAATGTCTCGTGAATGTATACATGTCATATTATGTATTTTTCCGCTGAAAAATATTTCCTCGCATGTATGTATATACGTGTGTTTTTTTGGGGTTTTTTTTAAACATTAATCAGTTTGTCTGACGATCGCTAAAGCGTGAAACGCAGGGTCACAAACTCACATCTATCCAACCAAATATGTTAGCTCTATCTCTGATATTGAGCGCTTTCTAATAAGTACCATACATATAATATATAAATAATTATACATATATATATATTTATATTTATATACACTTTTCACACACACACACACACATATATATATATATATATATATATATATATATATATATATATATATATGTGTGTGTATACATAGATAGATGTATTCTTGTGCACATGCGAATCAACACAATATATTTATATATTAGTACTTCCAGAGTTATATAGATTTGCATCTCAAGTAAATCCTACTAATCACCGAAAAGAAACGCCTATAAGGAAAACTTAATGTAAAATATATAAGCACTAACGCACACGCGCGCACGCAGATAGATAGATAGATAGATAGATAGATAGATAACGAAAATCAAATTGAAAATGCGAGAAAATCTAGCCGAGAAAAGGGAAAAATCTGTGTGCAAGGACATTCCAAAGTGAAACCTGAGAACAATCCTCGCCAACTAAAGTCAACTGTCCTTCGCACTAACTCAATTTACTAGAGTAGAGGCTGATCTTACTATTCATTTTTATTGTTTTCCTTTAGTCGATTTTCGCACCCACTAAAGCATTGGTAGGGTATAGGGCTGTAGAAATGCAGTTGGTTGTAGGGTGGGTCGGCCAGAGAATAGACAACGAACGAGAAAAATTGACTTGCAAAGAGAAAGGGTAAAATATTTTAAGCAGCAAATAGATGAACGGTGATGTCATGAAATGTGATGGACAAGATCGCGTATTCGTTGAACTGGGAAACATCTTTGGCATAATGGAATCTCCTTATGAAGGCAGTCTTCACTTAACCAATGATGGCCTCATTCGGGAGGCGTCAGTCTAGAATTTCCCGCCGAAAACAGCCATCTTGGGTTTTCTTATTCATTTTTTCTTTTGCGCTCAAGAGACGGAGAAGACAGTATATCCAGCAAAAACAAAAAGAAGAAAAGAAAAATGAAAGCAAAATAAAATGACGAAGACAAGAAATCTGCACTTTATCGCAGACGTTTTTATGCGGGTGCAAAAGAATATGGAAGCACAGAAGGATGATAAAATAGGAATCGTAAAAACTGAAGGAAATATTTTTAACAAACAAAAAAAAAAAAAAAAACTAATAAAACAGAGGAAAGGCTAAAAATGTTTCTGGCAGTTTGAAAACGATAAAGTATAAAAATATAAATCGCAAAATCTCTCACAAATATATACACACAAGAACATACATAAACAACAAAAGATACACGCATACAAGCACACACATATATACATACATACACACACACACACACACACATATATATATATATATATATATATAGAGAGAGAGAGAGAGAGAGAGAGCGATAGGTAAATTTATGTATGTGTTATGCAGGTATGTATGTATTAGATGCGTTTAATAAATTTTATGAACTAATTTAACGATAAATCGCAACTTTAATGAATTAAATTATACATGAATGGTTTCAATTTTTTTACACTGAATAATGAAGTCTTTTCTCGCACATGCTCTCTCTCCATATATATATATATATATATATATAGATAGATAGATAGATAGATAGATACATAGATAGATAGATAGATAGATAGATAGATAGATAAGATAGATATAGATATAGATATGATAGAAATATAGTTTCAAGGTGTGCTATATTTAATAAAAAATGTAGAAATAATTTTCAATGATATACCATATATAAATTACATAGAGAATGGAAGTTGGAGAATTCTTCTATAATAACAATCGCATGCACTGGTTTCAATACTACAACATTATCACGCCGTTTAACATGCTATTTATCTAATACGTAAGGATATCTGCTCCACTCGAATATCCGCTCAAGCTTAAAATCAACAAAATGTTAAAAATAACATTTTCTTTTATAAAATGAATCCACATTAAATATATCTCCATAAAATCAGCGATTGCTCCTGATTGAATCAATGTGAAAATTTGCAAAATTTGAAGGAGTCGCCATTAATAGCTAAAATATATTATTCTACAAAACAATAATAATCGATGCCATGATTATTGATAAAAATCGATAATCAGTTGCCACCTAGACACGATGTTAGCTTTTTTTTTTTGTCTCAGATGAGATCAAACGCTTTAATCTCTGAAAACAGCAGTCGTATTTAAATGGTAATTTTCAACAAGTTATCATATTCGTGGCATCTGATCAAATGGCTAAATATCTAAATTTATTTTTTATCTTTTTGTATAGTGACGATAAATGTTCAGCATCCCTGTAGAATAAGCAATGTTTTGGTAGTTTGTTTCTTCGTGTACCAACCATTGTATTGTTTAGCACATGTCCGACTTTGAAAAAAAAATATACCTTATTCATTTATTAATTTAATTTTACCTGACGTTAGAATTGTTTCTATTAAAACGCGTCTTCCATAATTAAGAAAAACAATGTTAGAGTTGCTGAAGGTTGTTGGAGGCAAAGTCAGGTGATTGCTGACAACTGCAGGGCTGCAAAATATGCTGCTTTGAAACGAATTCACATCTGGTTTGATGCTTTTACGATATATTTAGAGGTTCTTGAAAAAATACAAAGAAGAATCTATAATGTTACTGGTGCTGACCAGATATATTTGCTTCAATTACTTCCCTATCGCCGTAACATAGCTTTCCTGTGTATTTTCTATTAAAAATAATTTCATGTTAATTTTTCTGATGAGTTTTCATTTTTGGTACCTAGACTTTATGAATTTAAATACAATATTAGATTGGCGGCAAGATCTCTTAATTTTACAGTTGAAATGGCTAGATGCAACCGTAAGCTATATGCTAAAAGTTTCTCTTCGAACTTCTCATTTGTGAAACTCTATGCTAGCTTCTTGCTTTCCAATCAAGTTTGATTTTCAAAAGTTTAGATGCAATGTCAATCGTTATCTTCTGTCCTCTTAATTCCTTTTCTTTTATTGTTCCCTTTCCTTAATAATGCTTTGTTTTTTTTTTCTCGTATTCACTCACATTTGTCTTAGTGGTTTTATAGCCTTGCTTGGGGTGAAATGATTAAACAAGAATGACGTTGTTATTTAGAAAATTCAATAGAATTATCTATTCTCGCATACATTTCGTAAGAAGTTGTGCTTTTGTCATTTATTAACCCGCTATATGTTTATCAATTTAAACGTTATTTGTAGTGGGTAGCCATATTTGAGTAGAATTTATATTCAGGTCGGTAGACAAAAATAAATACTGTTTCGAAGATAAACGGAGCATTTACTTTAACATTGGTATCCATTAGAAATAACGTCCCCATATATTTGTGTGTATATATGAGTGTGTAGGCGCGCACAAAAGAGAGAGCTGTGTTCGAATTCCAGCCCATTGCATTTCATTCCCTTTCGTACAAATATCCTTGGGAAAGGCATGTATCCATTAAACTCTCACTAGGCATGGTTTAAAACGCAGCAAAGACTGTTCTCTGTAACCTTAGCTGGCACCTAGTCTAGGAGAAGGATAACTTTGAATTCAAATCTGGGTTGGGCGGTGTATGCGACTTCGTCTCACACTGTACACTTGTTCTCTGTTGTGAATTCGTCCGAAAAGTGTGGCCGGTTCTATGCAGGTCTTCACCATTATAATCAGATAATATGTGAAGCTTGTCTCAGGGATCACTTCTTACAGCTGTTTTTCTTTTAAACCCTCACACGTCAATATCAACAACGGCATTGTCCAGTATATATACATATCAATATCATATATATATATATATATATATATATATATATATATATATATATATATATATATATACTAGCAGTAGAGCCCACGTTGCCCGGGGATGTAACAATAAGAGATAGATCAAGTATCGACCATCATAAAGACTGAAAAATAAAAATTGACAAAGATTATTGTTTAAGGTTAATTAGGCTTTTTTTGTTTTTTTTTACGAATTGGTCAAACCCAAACTCAAACAAAAACATTGTTTTCAATCGTTATGAGTCCACCGATTGAATTGAATTTTATTATAAACAATTGTCTTGTAAATGGAATTTTTAAAGCATTCTGAATGTAAAAATAAAGAAAAAAGTGTGCAAGACAATAAGAAATACTACCTGCCTTTTTTGGCAGTGAAGTGAAGTTTTGTTGAAATCGGTTGAAAAATGTAGGAAATCCGATCCCATATATAAACGAACACACACACATACAGAGAGAGAGAGAGAGAGAGAGAGAGAGAGAGAGAGAAACAACCTGGGTTTTATAATAAGTATAACTCTATATGAGTTGTCCCATTTTCATTCTCGCGACAGCGATGCCTCTTAATCGTGTTTTCAAATTGATTTCGTGCAAAAACAATTGTTTTTACAATTTGGGGCACTGTCGGAACCACCGCAAGTTAATTTTACGTAGTCCTGTGAAGTTTTGTTGAAATCGGTTGAAAAATGTAGGAAATCCGATTCAATATATAAACGAACAGACACACACACACACACACACACACAACTTGGGTTTTATAATGAGTATGATATATATATATATATATATATATATATATATATATATATATATATATATATATGAGTGTGTCTGTGATGGTTCTGCACAAACCTGAAACATTATAGTGTAATCGCTCTAGTATATATGTAATTTATGTGAATTGCTAATGATTCAGGAATAGAAACGTATTGAAACATCAGGTTGTAAGAGATTATTAGTGGACAGAAATAAAGTCAAATATTACTGAAGACTGAATAGTTATTTAGTTAATGGTCATAATAAAGGATGTTCCAACAACTTGGATCAAGTTTAATGTGAATTAAGTTTAAGCGTCTAATGATTTTTTTTTCTTTCCGGCTTGGCAGACATTTGGGCGATATTATTTTTCACAAATAATTGCCATGACTTAGATAACATGATTCAATAGAGAAATAAATAAATTTTCACAAATTACACTGATTTATTTACAGCTTACTTTGATCCGTTTTAATGAAACACCCTTATATATAATCTGTATTAATGAATCACCCTTTATATTAAAACACCGGTTCTCATACGATTACCAACGTTAAGCAACGTCAAGACTGGTCAGTATCTGGATTTATGATCGTTTGGGAATACCAGGTGTTGTAAGCTTGGATGGGTAATGGATAACGGCTCGGAGTTAGAACTAAGGCTCTCCGAGTCCCAATTTTAGCCGTGTTCGTTACATTCACTTCTATGGGTTAAACAGTAGACCTTGTATCAGCAAAAAACATCATTATCTCTCAAAACAATTCTTACAGTCTAAAACTATTTTATGGCTTTAAATAACTTGCAAGAGGTTGATAAGCCGTAAAAAACAAATCAATCGAAGTTGAATAGTTATTTAGCCTCTCCGAAATTGTGAAACATATTTTTAAGTTACACTTTTTCGAATGAAGATATTTTTTTTTTAAAGTTTCAAACATTTCCGAAACGAGAAAATAAAAAATGGCGACGAACGTATCGATCAATATTGAGAATGATTTCTGCAACTGTAAACATTAGTCACACTTTTACTTTATCAGTCAGAATAATGAACATTGCCATAAATCTAAGTGCTTGAAACATTTGGCGAGAAGGGCCGGTGACATGTCCCCTGGCCGATCCGTTCTTTGTGCTTGACGCTCTGGATTGTGTTCAGGAATTTGCACATGAGAAAATTGATGGAATTATACAAATCACAAGAAATAAAAACAACAACGAAAACAAAACCTGTTTTTTTTTGTTTTTGTTTTTTTTTATTCAAACACACGAAAAACTGTGAAATTTCCTTGGATATATATATATTTTTTATGAGCGAAACAAATAAAAATAAATTTTGTGATATGTGCGATGAAAATATCCAACGCTCTGCTTCGAAATTTTTTGAAAGGATATAAAAAGAGTAAAAAAAAAATACAGATGCGCGCATGGGTGGCGTAGATTAAACATGGATTTTTGATCGGTTGGATTAGCATTTTGAGGAATATAATTCTATCACTTGTCGTATCATGTTCAATATCAACAAAGCAGCGATACGCGTCTGTATGTGTGATGGTGTACATCAAGTCTGTAGACTAATGATAAATATTTTGTGCAAGAATAATTCATTTTCAACAAAATCTTATTCTTTGTCAATGCACTTGATTCAGTTATTATCTAGAGGAAAAATTGTATGAAGATCGCTTAAGGTGTGAAACTGACAGTCACAATGGTTTGTCGACTTTTGTGTTTATAAACTGACCACTCATTCTCCAAATAGCAAATTCAAAAAATATGTGTATCTCTATAAATGTACATATATATCTATGTGCGTGTGTGTGTCCGTTTGTGTATGCGTGTGTATGTGTGCGCGCGCTCGCGTATTTGATGGTGTGCATCAATCCACATCCTAACGATAAAAAATATTTTATGTAAGAATTGTTCATTTTCGACGTAAACCTATTCTTTGTCAATGCACTTGATTCAGCGATTATAATGTATCTGAGTGGGTGTCTGCAACAGGGATTTGCTAGCCGTTCACTGAGGCGCAGTTGTGTTTCTTCAACAACCACAAAGTGTGGTTTATATGCCTATCAGACCTCACTTTCTGGGAGAGAGAGACAGCACAATATAGCGTGAACAACAGTTCAACAACTGTAAGCTCTAGGCATCGGTCACGAAGACTAGCGATTTCGTGCTATCACAACTAGCAAAGACTTCCGATCAGTTCCGTCTACGCAATTCCACTCATATGGACATACAGATATAGATAAAGAAAGTGTGGCAGAAATCCCATGACTTCAGCCCACATACACACAATCCCAAATTGTGACAAGATGCCCACACACTAAAAGTTATCTAATTTCTAACATGGAACCTGGATATGATTCACTTCCAGTATAAAAAAAATGTTACGCTCGGCATCACAAACTTAGTAGGACTAAATCATAACTTTGCCTGACGATCCTTCAATTCGAGGGTGAAATTTAAGTAGCGCTGTTTTTATTTTTATTTTACAATTTTGTTACATATCTATCCATCTATCTATCTATTGGACTCTCGTTGACTTTGGCTTCAGTCAGTTATGTGCCATGCGTGGTACACGCTTAGGCGATCATCTATCTTTCGCTACATGACTGACGAGGCAGACTTTATTTTTCCGCAGTAGGTTGCCATTTCTTTCTGCAGTAGACCAGTTGCAATCCGAGGCTATAGAACCCGGTCTGTCCTGCTATTTACCCATAGAAGGGGAGAAGAAGAAGATTCATACCTTTCCTAAATGTATTAGCACGTAAGTGAATGTGATGGATTCGACTGGAATTCGAACTCGGCTCTCGTATTCCTCAATCCTCCGTGACTTTGCCTTATATGGGTTAAAAATACAGTTCTTAGAACTGAACCCACGGACAAGCTTTACAAAATATTTGTTTATAGTGGTGAAGGCATGCACAGAAACACTTATACTTTTCGGAAGAACTAATAGCAGAAAATTGATGCGCACTGTGTCACGAAGACTCCATACAGCGTAACTCAGGTTTTGAATTTAGAGTTTTCCTTCTTCTAGACTAGCCTGACAGTAAGGGCGAAAGAGCGCAAAGTCTATACCACTATTTAGCGCAAGGGAAGATACCACAGAAATTGAAGTTTTAAACAGACAAAACCACATATTTTTCCCTAAAATATAACCCTTTTTCTGCCAACACCCTGATTATTTTGACTGTATTCTCATAAAAAAATTGCTTTTCTTGTTCCAGTATCTTTAACAAAGCCGCATGCTTCTTTTACTATTACTGCTTTAATTCTACTATATTAAAATTCTATACCTACCGAGCGAGATTCAGTTTCAAGGGAGTTAACCTCATTCACTTTTTTTTTGGTTGGGGGGATATTTTTGCATTGGGTGCAGCGATGAATTTTAGAAGGATAGTCCACAGTGATTTTATTGAGACAATACCAACCTGTATATAGCTGGATTTTGACACATTTGAGTTCCACCGCCCTTTGATAAGTATTGTTTTTCATCCTATGTGGTTGCTAACCACAATCCTGCTGCTTTGAAAAGGGGTGAGGTGTCGGTTTTGTCGCCGACCACCCGATACAAATAAGCCTATGAATGGTTGTCTATGTATATTTTAACTTAGATAAAGATAAAATTTTGTTTTTCCTTTTCTCTTCTTTTTTTTTTCAGAGTTGAACCACCCATCTGGTTTGATCGTCACGAATTAACAGAAAAAAAAAAGAAAATATTGTAAGCCACCGGCTGCTGTATTTCATTAAATTTGTCTTAATTTCGTTTGTGTGAGGGCTTGTTTATGATATTGACAAAGAAAGCATAGTTTATATTTAAGGAGTTTATATTAAATATGCTCATTTAATGGAAGAAAATAAAATATTTTCTTTTACGTTAATATTCTGTGAACTTATTTGGTTTGGCCGTAAGAAATCAAAAAAGAAAAATACAAATATTAACTGTTTAAAGTTCTAACTATACAGAAACGTAAAAGAAAATGAAGAAAATCGTTTTTGTTTTTTCACATTGCATCGACTTTTACACGAGTATATACGCTGCGTTCAAACGCACTCACTTTCGCACACACACATGAACTTACTGAGTGGGAAAATAGTTACTGAATACTATAACAGAAATTAACAGGCGAGAGAACGAACATTGTGAATCAAGCTGAAAGAAATAACTTATATCAGAAGTAAACATCAAACCAGCTTCGTTCTGTTGCCATCAGTACAACAAAATAAATCTTAACAAAAGCGTAAATCAAAAGAAAAAAAAACGAACTAGTCTTAACTATTCCGAACACCGAAAAAGAAAACAAGGAAACTTGCCAAAGGCAGTTGTCAGGGTCGACCCGTTCGTTGCCATCGTGAATGCGGAGAGTAGGGGAATCAACTGTAATAGGTAAGGACGTTTGAGCAAGATACACGCAGGCCCTATTCCGTATGCGTCGTTTGTACATCTATGTATCTTGACATCTCTTGTGGCTAAATGACCACTTTTTTTTTTTTTCTTTTCTAATATTTCATACAACGCCAACGGAATACGAACGCCCACCGCGTAGGCACTGGGGAGCCCGACTTGGGGCTGGTGAGAAATGAAAGAAGTATACACATCGAAAAACAGATAAAGAAATGAATGGTGAAAAGAAGAAAAAAAAAACAAGACAAAACAAAGGTAGGCACTGGAAAGAGAGATGGGAGCTTGTTATGTAGGTGGGTCGCTTTGTAGAATAAGAGAACTGACATTTGAAGGTGAAAATGAAACTGCGATGAAATATAAAAAAAATGAAACGTATAAATAGATCAGGCGTAAAAAGAAAGGAAGATAAGAGAAAAGAAGAAGCCAGAAAAAAAATCAGAAAGAAAGGAAATGAAAGAAAACAAATAAAGTAAAGAAAAACGGAAAGATGAAGAAAAAAAAAGAGGATAAATGACAGTAAAAAGAACGGGGGAAAAAAAAAAGAAAGTAAGTAACGAAAAAACAAAAAAGAAAAACTTTCAAAACAAAATAACAAAGAAAGGAAACGCAAAAAAGAAGAAAAACAAACAACAAATATAGATCTAGTGTGGACATAGGAATTAACAGTCTATGGTGAATATTACTTTCTTATATGTGTGTCATTTTTGGAAGGGAGATTTCCAGCATTGATTACAGCTATATCACGTTGAAACACCGGTACCCGTACGATCACCGAAGTTAAGCAATGTTGAGCCTTGTCAGTACCTAGATGGGTGACCGCTTGAAAATATCAGGGGCTGTCAGCTTGGATGTCCGGGTGATGTAATGGATAATGACTCTGAATTCTTAATCGGAGAGCTAAGTTCCAATTCCAATTGGGCTCGCTATATTCACTTACGCGCAAATACCCTTTGGGAAAGATATAAATCCACCTCTTCTCCCTCCAGCTATGGGTTAATTAGTAAAACTCGCATCACTAAATCAGTATTATCTAAAAAAAAATTCTTAAAATCTAAAATATGTTATGGCTTTAAATAACCTGCAATGGGTTGATAAGACGTAAAAAACGAATCAATCCATCATTATCCGATATTATTTTGTTATGACAATAAACATTATTTTTAGTGGTGTCATATTTGGGTTGTTATATCTGTTGCATTTTCTTAAACAGTGAAATTAATAACAAACGGCAAGAAAAATTGTGCGTTCGACAGGAATCGAACCTCAGGGAAACAGCTTTTTAAGCTTAAGCATGCGGAGACAATTTTAACCACGGAGACAAGCCTAACAGAGCAATACTTGAATTACCTATTTAATGAAAGTACATAACGCGAATATGCAAGGTCTCAATATTAGGGATAGCACGTGTGTGAATATAAAAGTGAACATTGAAGTCAACACTCGGTAGACTGTTTCATGCTAAACGCAATCATCTATCTATCTCTCTCTCTCTCTCTCTCTCTATATATATATATATATATATATATATATATATATATATATATATATATATATGCACGCGCGTGCACACACATATAATGTCCGGAAAGTATCCAGCAGTTTAATATTGAGAAAAATAGCCTCTCTATATGGGCTTAGCTTTAGTCAATTTACTCCCTGAGAAACTCATACACTTATCTTCAGCGTTCCTTCCCCTTTTTAAATAAGTATGCGAAAAATGCGTCTTCATTGTGTTCTCCTTAATCTTGTCCACAATCTGAAATATCTTTAACGGAGCTGGCCTAATCTGAAGTACTTTTATTTCCTACACCTATCTATTTGCTCTCTCATTTTGAGCTCGATTGCCACGCAGTACACAAGCTCAGACAATGATGCCTAATTAGTAAAGATTAGCGATTTTCTCTTCGTGCATCAGCCGTAAGATCTCCTCTGACTGGCCGTGCAACCAAGTCTCATATACATGCATGCAAGTTCAATTTAAGTTTGAGGCTATTCATTCGTGGAGTGTTAATTCCCTTGGCAAAGACATGTATTTCATTTCTCTTTGGTTTTGACGTACGGGAAGATCTCGGAACACAAAAGCTTGCCATTAACATTTCAATGTTCAATCACTTTGTCATCTGATATTTTTAGGTCGTTAGAAAATTATATAAACGAATATCTTGCATGTGGCTTCCCTACGAATACTAGTGAACCATATCATTCGGAGAAATTAGTATTCTTCAAAGCGTGTAGTAATGGGAATCTTTCTTTCGAACTGACATGACATCGAAAAAATAAAACCATTTTCTAAAGGACTGTTTTTTACTGACTTTTGGTCAAATGGTTAATAATACAAATATGAGACTAAATATTTATCTAAGATCAATAAAAGGAAAAAAACGCAAAAGAACTGGTAAAGAAATGAACGTGTCTATGTTGTTTAAAAGAAACTTTTGATGAAAAGTCAATATTGTTGTCTAGTTATTAAAATTTCCTCTCGGATAACAAAAACCTCTCACCATTTTATTAGAAGACATAACTCGGTTTTATGTTGTCCCGGGGATTTGCAACCTTCATTCTGTTATTACAAAGGAAAATGATGATAACCAGATAAAAAACCTCGTGGGTAAAGCAAATACTGATCAGTTTCCAAATTAAACGAAAATACGTGCTATCTCTTTTTAAAACGACGCCCCAATTTTCGTCAAATAATGAATACAGAAAATAAAATTGTAAGCAAAAGACTTTGGTTTTTATAGCGTTCGGTGTATTGTAATGGATCGACCATATTAGCATTATACACTTGAAAAATGATCGGATGAACTTGGACTAGAGTTTAATAACGGTTCGCTACATTGTTTTCCTCTCTTTAACTCTTCCTTATATTTCCATCAAGTTTTTCTTCCTTAGATGATTCCTCAAAGACTTTTCATACCATTCCTTCTTTCTGTCTCTGTTATCGACATTTCAACGTTTCAATTGCATTCTTAGTATGTTTTCTCCTAAAATATTCCTTTTTTCTTTTTTTACTAATTGTTCACACAATATAAGACACAATAGCCCTACCGACAGTTAACTGAGGTTGTTGTAACAGTGTCAGAAGAAGAGATAATAAAAGCAGTTTGTGAGGATAGATAGGATATATAAGGGTAAAACCTAGAGGTTAAGATTGTTGTGATCGGGAAAACATCCTATCGGAAGTCTGTTCCACAAAGTAGTTGTTTTTGAGAAGCTGCCAGAGTGGAACTTCCCTCGAACTAATGGAATACAAAAGTAATGTCGAGGTTTCATCTCATTGTACATGGTATGGTGGGTTTTAGCTGCGGCGGTCAGGATTAATGGAACTAGGAGGGAATGTAGTTTATCAGAATATTTGCCACTGAGCTATAGAATACTGAGATTCTTGCGACGTTTCCTCTATGGGAAAGAATTAACAGAGTGGAAAATAATTCATCGCCCACAAGGCCGTGTAGACGCTTTTGAACTCGAGCAAGGCTAGAAAGTGAGTATTGGTCATCTCCGACTTAGTTTAAGCAGCAGCGCCCTATATTTGGTCTGATCTGGCTCTTGCGATAAGAGAGCATAACAGGTGGTGGATAGTCAGCAACTGACTGGAGCGGTACAAGAAACCTACTCTCTATTTCGGGTACCTTTTTCTTCTGTATTTTTTAACGGTCGTTTATGCTTTTGCTAACAATGCAGCAAGAATTTATATTTGACATTGAAAATAAGGGATATCCATCAAATATTTCTCTTCCCATTGCTTACAAACATACCCTAACAAGAAAAAAATATAATCATTGCAAAGCATTGAGAATTTGTACATATGTGACAAATTTTTTTTAGGTTGATTTATTTTTGCGATTTTTTGCAGGTTATTTAAAGCCATAAAATATTTTTCGTTTATAAAAATATTTTAGAGATAATAATAATTTACTGATACGTCCGATTAATTCAATCATAGCTGACGGGGAGGGGGAGAAAAGTTCGATTCATACCTTTGCCTAAGCGTATTTGCGCGTAAAAAATATAACGAACCCGACTGGAATTGGAACTCCCAGCTCCAATTCTGAATTGTTATCCAATAACCAGTCGCACATTCATCCTTACAACACTTGGTATTTCTAAGCGGTCACTCATTTCGGTACTAACCAAGTTCGAAATCGGTGATCATATGGAAACCGCTGTTTCAATGTGTTATAGCCGAAAGCCCCGAGATACTTTTCAAATCAAGATCAAAATACTGATGAAAACTGACGAGAGTGCTGAAGGTCTGAATATATTATGAAGCGTTTGAGCTTCAATTATGAGGCTCAGGTATCCATGCCGTGAAAATCGATTTAAAGAAAATATCCTGTCTTTTTGTTCACGAGTTATTATTATTATTATTATTATTATTATTATTATTATTATTATTTCCCTTTGATTTCTGGCGTTTACATTTCTTTCTGGGTCCCGCCCAGGGACCTAAGGTTAGAAATGGCACCATGACACTTTCCACTGAAAAAAAAAAAATTACATAGATAAAGCCCTTCGTAAAGTGTGGGCTGTACTTGTCAGAACAATTTTTTGTATCTCCTTGAGGCATGGACTTCCAGGAATCCCTTCAATTAGTCTACTGCAATCTTTTCCAACCAGTCCTAGGGCTCCAACTACAACAGGGATTGTTGATGTTCCCATATGCCACATTTTCGAGATTTCTATTTCAAACCCCTTGTATTTTGACAACTTTTTGAATATCTTCAAAGATACATTGCAGTCAGCAGGGACTGCCATATCAATAAGAAGGCACTTTTTAAAATAATAATAATAATAATAATAATAATCTTCTATGGGTCATGTACCTTCCGAACGTTGGTCATTATGACACGCTACAATTTTCTGTCCTTTCTGGCTCTTTATAATTTTTCTTTTTGCTATATCTCCTGAGCCCGTACGGCCAACCATACACGCAGTCTTGTTAGGTAGGTTATTCACTGTTTACCTTTGTCTCTATTGCTTTCAATATATCTTGGCAGTGTGAGAAATGATTACGTGTTTTTTGTTGTTTTTTTTTGTTTTTGTTTTTTTTAATATCTTTTTATCATTTCACCCCAAAGAAAGCAATAAAGACACTAAAACGCAAGGGGTTAGTGAGTGTTCAAGAATATGATAAAAACTACTATAAACTAGATTCAAACCGATATTCTAATTTGTCACTAAGAATATGATTATTGGACTGTTCAAATCCCTTCAGAAAAGATTTTAAGCTTAAATTACAATTGGTCTGATTCCATAACACCCCTAGACATCATTTGGCTTTACTTATTACTGGCATCGCGTTAGCCTTGAGATGCCACAGATGGAAGTCCTGTGTACAGGTTAGTATTGATCGATTTCTGGGAACCTTAGGCGTGCACACACACACATAAACACACACACACACAGATAAAGAGAGAAGGACAAGAATGAAGAGGACGTACCGTGACAGAGAAAAAGAAAGTGGGAAAGGAATTGAAATCTCTTGAAAAGTTCTTTTGCAAAGGAAGGATTTATTGCGGACGGGTAAGAACGTAGAAAAGAATCGAACGAAATCGAGAGAAAAATACAAAACAAGAACAAGAGATTGTTTACCATAACGTCATAAAAACGGTACAGAAAAAATTACCAAAGAAAGATGGTATCTATGGTTTCAGAAAGCCAAGATTTGAAAACTAAAGAGGAAATCTTTTTTTTCTTTTCTTGTAAGAAAAAGAAAGGTCTGTAAATATGAAAGTGGTTGGGTTTGAAAGGGAATATAAAAGACAAAAAAATAGAAGAAAAGTGACCAAAAAGAGAGAGTTTCATTTCGCCATTTCGAAATGGAAATGACCTGGTCTTAGAATAGGAGAATAAACGAACACGAACCTATTCACCTCTGTCTTAAGAAATACATTCAACCGCTTATAGTGGATAAGTCGGAAGCTTTTTCCTATCGACACAGAGGAAATAGAATAAGTTGATACTGCAGTGAAAATACTGTTGCAACATTCAAAAGGTAACCAAACTGAATAAGTGCCTTTAACCCCTGAGGAATATAATGTCAGATTTCAGCCTCCTCTTCAAAGAATTATTATTCTTTTTTCTACACTTTCTGTATTGCATCATATTTCGGTTGGTGTTCCTTACAAATGGCGACGACCACAAAAAGAAATAATATTCAGCTAACAGACACACAGACGCCCATTCACACCACTCATATCCCCAACCCCATATATATATATATATATATATATATATATATATATATATATATATATACAAAAACCAATAAGGAAGATTCTAGATGATAATATTAGTATCCTACATAGGTTATGGAAAATACCTTTACATAAAACATCTGGCACCCAGTATAAATTACACCTTATTCAGCAGTGGAAATGGTGTTTTGAAGGTCTAGAAGAAAAAACAAGATTTTAAACTAACTCTAAAATCAAAGAAGAACTTAAGAATGAACCCAAAAATAAATTTAAAAGAATTTATAGATGAAGAGACGTAGGGGTTAACGGAAGGAGAATTAGGTATATAAATTAGAATCAATATAGTATAAAGTTTTTAAAGTGGGGAGGAGTGACTTAGGGTAGCTAACTAAGGTAAAACTACATTATGGGAATTAAAATTAAATTTTTGTTTATTATTTTTTTATTTTTATGTCGACATTTGAGGAGTTAGAGGGGATGGAAGCCGGGGAGTGATTTTGGGTAGCTCATTAAGGCAAAACTATATTATGGAAATTTGAATTTGTTACTATGTCGACATTTGGACACTAATTCTTTCCTCTTATTCAATAGTTGGCTTTTATTATTGTATTTTATTATTTTATTTTTTTCTTCTAAGCATAAATCACACCTATCTCTAAAACTATTCGGAGTTGCAAAGTATCTGTGAGTTTACATTTTCGTCCTCCAATTGCCCCATCCCCTATTTTTTTTTTTTTTTTTTTTGAAAGAGCTATTTGGTATTTAAGTTTAGAGTTAGAAAATGAATGCTTATGGATATAAAATCTTTGTTTCTGCTCCCCCGCGGAAATTCCAATGTAAACTTTTTTATTTTGCATATTTTATTTGAGGAAAATGGTCGATTGGTATATAACTGGTAGCTTTGCATTTGCCCTCTACAGGATAATTATTTTTTGATCTACAACTACAGGAGGGGTCGATACCAGGTTTTTTGTTGGCCCCATAGAAATTACTTAAAATTTGGTTGTTGTGCAAATTAATAATTTTATAAATATTGTTGGTACAAGATTAGCTAATCTTAATCCTTTTCGTATTGAAAATCTTACTTAGAGGGTTATTTGTTTGGAAGTGCTTATTGATTAACTTTAGAAAATGCAATCTGATGTTAATATTTGACAATTTTCAGAAGTGGGGGGTGAACCATATAGTTTTTTTCTTTTTCTGTGTCTTTTTTATGTCTACGCTTCGGTTTATCTAAGTTTACGAATTCAGACGAGCCTATGATCCGAGTAAACTATCGTATATAAACTTAGTCAACCTAAGACACCGACATCGACTCTTTTAACTCGGGAGTCGATAGCTACCTCGGTCGAGGTAGCTAGAACGCACCGTCGTAGCTGAGCCGTCCCTATTCGTCCACGTCCACACTACCTCCTGGGGGAGCTCATTACGATAGATATCGTAATATCAAACTTGTCGATAAAGTCCCGATTTGGTTTCATATCATCGATCTTTCCCTTATACGATCTATGTCGGGGTCAAGGACGGCATTACAATATCCCACTAAAACTACCCGAAGGGATGTCGTCAAAAATGTCTCTATCCACCAAAACAAATCAGGCCGCTCAATATGGTCATTGGGCGCATAAACCTTATGCTTTATAGTAACACCCAGTACGCAAAGCCTGACAACCGGATCTGCGAAGACAAGAGCACACGCCGCATCCAAAGCGTGCATCAAAACGGGCTGAATAGAGGTCAGTCCCCCTAGATAGAATTTTTTTCACGATCGCGAGTTGAAAACCGAGTCTCCTATACACAACATACATTCACCCACAGACGCTGAAGATCGCGAGTGAGCCTCGCCTTGAGAGACTCCGACTTCAGGCCCCGGGCATTCACGCAACATTATCAGACTGATTGGGGTTGCTCATCTGCATTGAATATGACCGGAGTGGGAACACCGAAGGCCTGTCCCATTCATCCTAGGCCCATTTCACTTCTGATGATGCCATCAGGAGACAGGCCTGCAATGTTCAAAGGAGACGTTAATTTAAGAGCTCTATAGAAGGAGAGGTGAGCAATAACTGGAAACCTCTCAGCACAATACTGTTGTAACCTTTTTACGTGTAAGTTGTCGAAATACGCCAGTAGGGAGCACGTTGAGATGGCATCGTTGTATTTCTCGATCATGCCCCATATCTGCCGTGAAATCGAACCTGTTAAAATTCTCTTCGCATTTGGGAAATTTGGGGTTTTTTCTACATCTTTTCCTTCCAAGAATTTATGTCCAACAGAACCTTAATCCTTTTAGAGTGTACAACAGATTTTTTTGTTTGTTCCTCGGATACACAGCAGATATCTTCCCCGAGGTGGATTTGATTTCTTCCTTTTATCATCAGTTGCAGAGCTTACTGGAATTATTTGGCGTTTGGAAGTGTTCTGTTTTTTTGGTAACTGTAAAAGGAGACGGTATGGTTTTCTTTTTTGGAAGGCGTAGGGGTCAATGGCGGAAGGCCATGATCTTTTTCGATGATGGACAAACTGTGGCGGAGTATGCTTGCAGATCTTTTAGTTCTTTAACTTTTCTATCTTCTGCCATCTTGGATCATTCTTCTCTTTGTGCCTGGTGATGCAGCATACTACAACTGGGCGTCGCTAGAATGGCGCTCTAGGTGACTTTTGGCATGGTGCTTCAAGGGACCAAGTCTCTTCCCTCTACCAATACCAACGATAAGACATTCCCCTTCCTTTTCTTTAATCGCACTTGCGAGTGGCGTCGGTTCTTTGGGGAATGTGGGACGGGACTTTTCCGTACGGGTCTGAGTCGATGGTAAGCCCATTACAAGCGCCGCGAAACTATCAGTTTTCGGCCAGAATGGGATTGAGTTGCCTGCGTCCGGACCTCCAGATGCCTTCTTCTCTGTACATGAAGTGGAGAGCTGACAAGTCTCTCTACACACCCAATAAGTCGATTTTCTGCCGGTCGCAATGACCGGTGTTTTCAAACGAAAAAGTCCGAACAGTTGCGAACGGAAACGAAGGTCAAACGATCGAGCCTAATATCAAAGCTCCATCCCCCGTTCAGGTTGTTAGAGGTCGCACCTAAGATGTGGTCATACTGACCTAGATATGCATGTAGGTGTTCTCCTATTAACTGAGGCGGGATCTCGAATACAGCAACTCTGGTCCTCTGCTGACCCTCATATTCGGTCCTTATTATGAGTTCTTTGGTTATAGGCTCACGGCTTGCAACCTCTATTCGGCTGTGTGCATGAAAATTCGGTATGTTTTATAACGCTTTAGAGTTTGGCAACTGGGTCATCAGTAATCAAATCATTGTGTCTTTTGTGAAGCGACAAATTTTACGCGTACGCTTGTAGACCACAAAGACTGACATCATTTTCTTTGCGAACTTCTGTAACTCATAAAAGCCCATATTCTTTTATAAGATAATCATAACTTTTAGAATTTTCCAAAAAATTCGCGATGTTAATTATGAATTTTGGTAGGTACTTGGTTATTCTGCTGCTTTTATCTTTTGCTTGATCTTTTTCATTAAATTGTGTTTGGGCTGTTGAATCCGAGAGTTTAGTTTTCTTTTTATAGGGTGAATCTACCTTAGAAGCAGACCGGAAAACTCCCTCCTAAATAGCAGACTTTTGTCGGTCGTCTTGTTTTAAAAAATTTCTCCACTAAACTAATTGGGCATAATATTTGTTTTTCTTGTGAAAAATATTTGGAGCAGGAAGAAGGAGAGGATATTAAATATTAAGTTTATTTATTTATTTATTTATTTTATAAAAAATAAAAATTTAAATTTATTTTAAAAAATAAAAGAAGTTAAAAAAGAATAATCAACAAGACAGAGGCGTGGGATGAAAATTTAACAATACAAAAAGTATACAATAAAAATTAAAAAAACGGGTTAAACCAGTAAAAACAAAATAAATTCAAATTAACTATCGAGAAAAAGTCGATGAACTAATTTATAATTAAACTTTGAAAAAGAATTAAACCAAAAGAGTTTAATTAAAAAATTAAAAGAAAATATATGAAGAAAAAAAAAGGTTATTTCACGTCAAAAATGATACTTAAACCTACCATAGCGAAGAGCTCTAGCAAGCAATTATCATGAAAGTATTTATAGAAAAGTCACAAAGAGACAACCTTACGGCGGTGGGAAAGTGACTGAAGCTGAGCAACCAGATCATGACCAATAATATTTCTAATTCTTATTTGGATTTTATCAAAGAGCTCAACGCACCGGACCATATGTGGCAGCAATATTCTAAATATGGACAAATGGTAGACTTATAGTCGCTTTCGCACAGATGTGCTGTGGCTTCCCTCTGTCTCATCTATAAGCATTTTCACGGCAACTTTTCCAACGAGTTGCTTTCTCTGGTTCCCAGACTG